TGGGACAGTGAGGAGGGCATGGGAAAGAGAGAAGGGATAGAATGGAGAGCTCCTGGGAGGTAGAGGACCAGCTTTGGTGAAGGGTTGGCAGGGTGAGGGACGGAGAGGAGGAGTGGTGGGTTGTTCTTTAGTTCTCATCATTCACCTGTTGAGTGTTTTCCACGTGTGTGTTTCAGCTTCCACTGAATGGCAGAGGTGTGCTGGTTAGGGGGCAGCACTGTTTGTGTGCATTTTAACCAGTTTCACATAAGCAGAAGCAGGAGGGGAGACTGAACTTACACACTTACTCATTTTACCTCTGTCTCTAGTCTACTTTTTCTTTTTTTTTTTTTAAGAGAGATTTTTGCTATAGGGCACATGTACTCACCAGAGAGACAAAGACAGAGAGACAGAAAGTGAAAAATCACTCCCCAGGGAGATGGTCATGCCGCAATCCCTTCTCCATTCTCCTCTTAGAGTTTTGGGCATGCATGCACACATGCCCAGTGTGAGCTTTAAGCCACCAGGTCTGGGATTTGAACCACTATCATTTATGTGGGAGTCCAGTGACATAACCATTATGCCATCTCTTGGGCTTATTTTTTTTTTGGAGAGATTTTCGCTATAGAGCGCGTGCACTCACCAGAAAGACAGAGAGAGACATAGAGACAGAAAGCGAGTTATCACCTCCCAGGGAGGATGATCACGCTGCAATCCCTTCTCCTCCATTCTCCTCTCGGGATCTCGGGCACGCACGCACACGCACCTGGCGTGAGTTTTAAGCCACTGGGTCCGGGACGAGAACCGCGGTCGACTACGTGGGAGTCCAGCGACATAGCCATTACGCTAACTGCTGGTTCCCTCTTGGGCTTATTTTTCAACTATGATCTGACGAAGTATGAGGCTCCACCTCTCTACACATGCAGCCCCATAATCCACCTCTCTCAAAAAGCATTCCTGGTGTAATAATCTTCCCTGAAGTCTTGACAGTCACAGATGGTAGTCACAACACGTATCTGATCAACAGTTTATCCCACTTTAGGCATTCCAGGGCTTGCTCACCCCTTTGTCCACCTACCATGAGAGGGTTTCTTTTGACTTTACCCTGGCAGCAGCTACACTTACATTGACTTTCTTATCATATTTGTTCTTTTTGTCTCTCTTTATCACCTCTCCACTCCATTTTGCCAAGTGAATTGCAAATCCCCCTCCTTTTTTAGAGAGATTTTTGCTATAGGGTGTGTGTGCTTACTGTAGAGATAGAGAGACAGAAAGCAAGAAATCACCCCCCGGGGAGATGGCTGTGCCACAGTGCCTTCTCTTCCATTTTCCGCTCAGGATTTTGGGCATGAACACACGTACCCCGCATGAATTTTAACCACCAGGTCTGGGATTTGAACCACAGTTAACCACATGGGAGTTCAGCAATGTAACCATTACACGATCTCTGGTCCCTCTCCTTCCCTTTTTACATGGAGAAATCTGGTGCTCTCTCTTCTCTCTCAAACTTACATATCCACTCATCAAGGCCTCGAGTAGGACAGAAAGACCCTCTGTGCATTTGGATTTATCCTTCTTGGAAGGCAGTGGTGAGTCAAAAATAGTATTTTTCTGTTATAATAACCACTGTGTGTCCTATCTGTTGACGACCGTGTGCCTGGCACTGTAGTACAAGCTTTCCAGTAGCTTATTTTCTCATTTGATCTTCACAGAACTCTGGAAGGTAGCTCTCTTTATTGCTCTTTTTACAAATAAGGAAGAGGTATGTGATAAAAAAAAAAAAAGAGGTAATTGACGTAAGTAAGATCATACAGCACGCAAGTGGTGGAACAAGGACTGAACGCTGGGCTTGTCTGGCCCCAAGCCTGAGCTCATTCCACTTTACTATTTACTACATGGCCTTTCAGGAGAGGGACAAGGAGAAAGCAATCGGAAGACCCGAGGCTACATAAAAGCAAGACCATCTGTTCTCATATTGTTTCACAACTTTAAAAGGATGGTTTTGTATGTTATCACATTACTTCTGTGACAAATGAATACTCATTATCTCATCCATTTTGAAATGAGGAAACTAGGGCCTTGTGGGAAAAAGAGAGAGAGGAAGCAGTTCAGGGCTGGATGTTTGATTGTGAGATTACGGAGGTACCCACGGTGGGTGAGTAAGAAGTTTAGGTGTGATCATGGGAACTAGTGACTGAAGTGATAGGAAGAGGAGGTGACCGGGAGAACCTGAGGCTACTGAAGTCATAGGAGGATGCAGGATAGGGCTCAGTGAGGACAACCATGAGCCAGGGCCTGAAATCTAATTTTTTCCTTTACTTCTTCCATGAGTAAGAGACACACAGAGACAGAGGCAGAGAGAGTCAAAAAGACAGCATATCCAACAGGTCCCAATGCCATTATCCACTCCACCCTGCCCCAAGCAGCCCCACATCATGGCTATACACGTGACCAGTGTATTCAGGGAGGTCTTCTCAGCCTCACAGAGCATTGCGCTTTACCCATTCCTGTTTCTAGGTTGAAATCTTTAACGTACAAGGAGTAACTGGGGGGTCAGTGATGAGGACGGGTACAGGGTGGTATGGCTGGAAAGTAGAAGAAGAAATTGTTTTTCATTTGTTTTGTTTTTACAAGGGTGGAAGTGGCATTGGGACCCTGCCTCCTGGTTTTATGGTGTGCAGTGGGAAAATGAGAAGCCTTCTTGCAGAGGGCTACAAGAGAGGCAGTGTCCTGGGAGCCAGTGTGGGGAGGGGTCAGATTTCAATAAAGGCAAAGAAGTAACCTGAGTATTCTGAAGAACCAGAGGGTGTAGGAGAGTTTGTTGACAAAGAAACACGGTTCTAGAGGGCATATAGGAAAGGGCTGGATGTGGGAGATGAGTGAAAGGGCTGAGTAAGGAGCTCAAAAGAGTGCAAGGAAGAGTGTGGGGCTGACTCCGTGCTGCAGAGGTGATGCAGCGTTCAAGAGTAGCCTGATCAGGACCAGCAGTTAACGTAATGGCTATGTTGCTGGACTCCCACGTAGTCGAGTCCCGGACCCGGTGGCTTAAACTCATGCCGGGCACGTGTGCGTGCGTGCCCAAGATCCCGAGAGGAGAATGGAGGAGAAGGGATTGCGGCATGGCCACCCCCCTGGGGGGTGATTTCCTGCTTTCTGTCTCTCTGTCTCTGTCTGTCTGGCGAGTGCACGTGCCCTATAGCAAAAACCTCAAAAAAAAAAAAAAAAAAAAAAGAGTGGCCTGATCCCACATGGTGGTCTTGGAGAGAAACCCCAGCCTAGTCAGTCTAAAATACACCAGGCACATGTACAAGTGCCCAAGATCTGATGGGCAGAAGACTGAGGAAGGGAATAGCGGTTTGACCAGACTCTGTGGAGAGTGGTATACCCTCTGTTTCTCGCTCCTTTGTGAGCATGCACTTTATTATGAATAAAAGGGGGGGAATGGGTGAGTCTGAAGAAGAGGACAGACCAGAGGTGCTATCAATTTGATTGGTTTTCTAGAGACACACTGTAGATAGTCAAAATGAAACTTGGGGGGAAAATGTTTTCAGTATCTGACTCAGACCTCTAAGGTCTGGGATGATGGAGGTTCATGGACAAAGACAACTCTAGATCAAGGTTGTTAGCTGGCTCCTGTGACCTCAGGAAGACAAGACGTGTAGTCCATTTTGAGACTTGGGAGTGAGATGCTAATTACCTCCTGTACCTCCCACCCCTGGCAGAGCCAGAACCTCCTAGTGTCCAGAAAAGAGCCTTTTCCTACTGCAGCTGGCAGCCTTCAAGCTACTGTAGACAGTGGGGAGGCACTGAAAGTTTTTTTATTTTATTTTGGAGAGGTTTTTGCCATAGGGCACGTGTGCTCGCCAGACAGACAGAAAGAGACATAGAGACAGAAAGTGAGAAATCACCCCCCAGAGGGGATGGTCACGCCGCAATCCCTTCTCCTCCATTCCCCTCTCGGGATCTTGGGTACGCATGCACACACGCCCAGCATGAGTTTTAAGCCACCGGGTCCAGGACGCAAACTGTGGTCAACTATGTGGGAGTCCAGCGACATAGCCATTATGCTAACTGCTGGTTCCCGGCACTGAAAGTTTTAAAATAAGGTGGATGGTAACATGGGGAAGTTTTGTGTCTCTGTGTCTGTGAGTGTGTGTGTGTGTGTGTGTGTGTGTGTGTGTGTGTGTTTAACTATAGATTTTTGCTATGGGGCACATGCACATGTCTGGAGGGTAGGGGAAAAAGGAGACAGACAGACAGAAAGACACCCCCCCCCCAGGGGGGATGGCCCCACCACAGTCCCTTCTCCTCCCTTCTCCTCTCTGGATTTTGGGTACACATGCACACGCTCCCAACGTGACACTGAGTCCAATATTCCTGGTAGGTCATGTGGGAATCCAGTGCCTTAACCACTTTGCCTGCTGGCCCCATGGAGAAGGTTTTAAAAAGTTACTCAGGCTACCGGCATAGAGAATAGACTGGAGAATGGAGGCAGGAGTTAGGAAGCTGTTGTATTAGTCTAGGCAAGAAACAAGCCCTGAGCCAGGGTAAGAGCAGTGGAGACAAGGAGGAAGGGCAGGGATGTGCTGAGAGTATTATCACCAGACCGATGGGATGCAGGGCGAGGAAACGCTTAGGGTAGAGGACAATGCCCAGTTCCACTTGTAGTTAGCCTTCCAGGTTCTCTCTCCCTGCCTGAGGTTTTGTCAGGATGCTGCAACGTAACGGACAGAAAGCGATTTGGAAATGGCAAGCCTCAGCACCGCCGGTCACCATCCACATTATCATCAAAGCTCTCTGATCACCCCAGTAAGTTCAGTCTACGGAAAGAGAACGAAGCAATCATGACAGTCCCCCAAATAGTCCAGATGGAGAGCTGGGAGCCCCCAGGATACCTCTGATTCCCTGCACCTGCCAGGAGCTAGGAGCCGGGGGCGGGGCGAACATGGACTCCGCCCCCGGGGCGGGCCTGGGCGGGGGCTGGACCCAGTCTGAGCAGAGTCCTACTGGAGCCTTGAGCCTCAGCCCTAAGTCGCCGCGAGGGGACCAGACCCGCCCAGCTCCGCACCGCCCTGCACCCCAAGCCCCGCTGCACCTCCTGCCGCCCTGAGTCAGGTTCTGCCGTCCAGCAGCGATTCCGGAGCAAGTCCTTGGTCCCGTACTCCGTGTCCAAGGTAAGGGGCGCGGCCCCGGCACCTCGCTTGCGATCAGCAACCATCCCCGGTGCAGGGGACTGGGGACTGTGAGCAGGCGCTAAGGAGCTCAGAGCAGCGGAGGGGACAAGAAAAGGGGCTAGGGAAGCCGCTAGAGGGGTGCCGCGGCAGTGATGGGTACACCAGCCTCGCGAAGGGGCGTTTGCAGTGTGTCTCCCAGACCCTGGTGGCCGCTGGGAGAGCTCCAGGGACCGAGGGCAGCTGGATACGGGAGCAAGAAAGAGGGAGCCGGGGTTGAGGAAAAAGGATGAGCGGCAACTGGAGGGCATTAAGGAATTGCTGGGGTCCAGGGAGCGTTGGGGGCGGGGAGCCGTGGGCAGGGAGATGAGGGGGCAGTGGGGGAAGAGGGCATCGTGCAGCCAAGGGTGGTGGGAGGCATGCTGAAGATAGAGCGTCGAGGGCAAGAGGGGCGTGGAGGTGAAGAGCTATGGGGAAGAGGCTGGGTGTGCAGCGAGAGGAAGGGGCGCTTGGCAGCAGCGGGCTAAGGGTCAGGGGGCGGAGGATATGTGTGGGTAGCTGGGAGCGAGAAGGGTGTGGACTAGGGGGTAACGGTGAGTGGAGGGCGAGGGGTGGAGCTTGGAAGAAAGGGAAGGTGGGAGGCCTGGCTGGGTCAGCCCGGACTGCAGAGGAAGGGGGCGGGGAGCTGGTGGACGGAGGTGACAGTGGCCCTGGATGAGGGCAGGGGGCGTCGGGAGTGGGGAGAGGCTCTGGCGGCCGCAAGTACAGGAACCGTCAGAGAACTCGAGTTTAGGGTGGTGTGTGTGGGTCGTGGTGTGAGGGTGGGAGATAATGGGGGTTGGAGTACACCCCAGGCGCTAGCTGGGTCTTGACCCCCTGGGAAGGCTGTTAGGCTGACAGGGAAAAACCTGAAAAAATGTACCCAGGGACGACTCTGTTCTGGAGTACAGGCATGGAAGAGACTTTGAGGAGGACAGGGCAGCAGCCTCTGGAAGCTTATGTTGTGGAGATGGGGCAGAGAAAACAGGCTCTCCATCCCAGTTCCCCAGACTGCAGGCACAAAAGGGTGGGGAAAGTAAAAGGAGCAGACGAATGTGTGTGCACAGGTGGGTGCTCACCTGTTCTGCGCCTCTACCAGAGGAAGACAATGGAGTCATGAGTGGCACTGCCCCTCGTAGCAGGAAGCCCTAGTGTTGCTGGAGCCAGAGGAGAGGCATTTTGGGAGAGGCTGGTGGGTCAGGGACGCCTTCCTGGTCATGAAGGATTTAACTAGCAGTGGAGAAAGTATGCTCCTAGCAGAGAAAATAGTAGGGGAAAAGACAAAAATCCAAAATGACCTCAATTCCAAGAAATAAATTTCCAGTTTCTTAAGGATTATGATGTGAATGAAGGATTCAGTGACCTAAAGAGAATGTTGTCATTGTTGTTTGTGTGTCTACTTATTTCTTCCATGAGCTGGAGAGGTAACATCCTCAACAGGGCCATAATGCTACAAATCACCAGCCCACTTCAGTCAGCCCCACCATGGGCACGTACTTGCCCAGGGGACTCAGGGAGGTCTCTGGACCTGAAGAGGGAACCTTCTCAGGGGGGATGGCCTTGCAGAACATCATGCCCTACTACTGTGCACTGGCCCCTAAAGAGAATGTTTGAATAGTTTCCTCCTCTAAGCTTGGAGCTCCTTAGGGTCCTCTTCCTCTCTCAGAGTCCAATGCATGGTTGGGCACACAGCAGGTGGTTGGTGAATGTTGACTGAATAAATAATTGAGCTGTGGTAGTGTTCCTCCCTCAGTTTCTTCATCCACTTCCAGGAATTGTGAGAATCAGAGAGGACAATGTGGGTGAATGAACACAGCTTTGTGAACTGTAAAGCACTATACAAAAAAGAGAGGTCACTGATGTTATGCAGTATGCCTCATCCTTCAGCAGTCACACCCTTGGCTATCTCATTCCAGTCCAGTGAAGACAGGAAATGCACATTTATCAAGCACTGATTGTGTGCAAGATGGAATGTATTGAAAAAACCTACCAGAATGCTTTGCATTTAGTAGGTACTTGAAAAACGGTAGCTACAATATTATAATACTGTATCTGTGGTTCTAAGAGACCTGGGTAAACAGTGAAGAGGAGGCTGGTCTGGACTGGTGGTGTTGGAAAATGGCTTGTTTGTCTGCTTTGGAGAGATTTTTGCTATAGGGTGTGTGCACTTGCTGGAGGGACAGAGAGAGACAGAGAGACAGAAATTGAGAAATTACCCCCCAGTGGGGATAGTCACACTGCAATCCCTTCTCCTCCATTCTCCTCTTGGGATTTTGGCCACACACATGCCTGCTGTGAGTTTAAGCTGCTGGGTCCGGGACTTAAAACGTGGTCGACCATGTGGGTGTCCAGCCAGGTAATCATTATGCCATCTACTAGTCCCAGAGAATGGTCTTAAAGAAAGATTGAACTAGAAAAGTTAGTGGAGTATACCATTAGGGAGGAAGGGCATGTAAAAGGGCGAGGTCCACATTTGCCCAACACCCTCCTTACTCTCTTTGCTGACTGTTTCTCCCCCTACACTTACAAATGCTCTCCGTAGGCATATAGAGAATTACATTTATTAAGGACTTGACATATTCCATGTAACATGTTAAATGCATTATCCACATGACCTATAATCTTCCCAATAAGTTTGTTTTACAATGAGGGGAATTAGTGATGTGAAATTTCTGGCCAAGATACCATACCTAATAAATAATAGAGCTGGAAACTGAATGTAGTTTGATTTGGAACTCCAAACTATTTCCACTACTCAGGATTACTTGCTAGAAGAAAATATGAAGCTCAGAGGGAAAAAAAATTAAAAGGGGTTTATAAAGCACTTAACCATTTATTGGTTTTAGTTCTTACAAAATTTGCCAGAGGCATTTAGCAACTGATTTGATAGATGAGGAAACTGAAGCCCAGGGCGTGATTTGCCTAAAGTTAATAGCTACTGAGAGCGAGGGCTCAATCTGTGTTCCTAGGACTCAATTTTATGCTCTTTCCATCGACAGAGAAGTTGTTCCATTCGCTTCCTCACTACATTTATTGAGTTGATCTCTTGCTGGATTTTAGGGCTCTCTCCTCCTCTGCCCCCTCTTTCCTGGTTAATGGCGTTTCCCTAAGGTTTTCATTTCTGCCATTAGCAGACTGAAAGGGTTATTTGCTTTTCATGGCAACTCTTGGAGGAGCCATTTCTTCCTTTCCCCCAGTCTGGGACTAGGGATGAATTCCCAGATGGTCCGCAAGCTTTCATCTGTATTGCTTGTCACAGAGAAGTAAGCTACCCAGCTGTATCATTTTATGTTACCATCACAAAAAAGAGGGAAGATGTGATCAATGCTTATCTTACAAATGCAATTCTGCACACACCACTGTGCAGTGACCTGTCTGCTCGGATCCGCCTCAGGCGGCTGCCTGCTAGGATGCTTTTTGCCTCTTCAAATGTCTGTATTACCCTGACTCTCTCCTGAGCAGATCCTCTTGGGGGCTTCCATATGAATGTGCCTTCCAACTGAACCCCTCAGCCCTCTCCCTGTTCTCACACCACCTACCGGGAAAGCCATGCTACATGCACAGAAGGAGATTTCACATTACAAGTGTAGGCAGTACCAAGGGTCTTTTTTTTTTTTTTTTTTTTTTTTTTGGAGAGGTTTTTGCTATAGTGCACATGCGCTCACCAGAAAGACAGAGAGATAGAAAGTGAGAAATTACCCCCCCCCCCAGGGGGGATGGCCATGGCCACACCACAATCCCTTCTCCTCCATTCTCCTCTCAGGATCTTGGGCATGCACGCACACGTGCCTGTCGTGAGTTTAAGCCACTGGGTTCAGGACTCGAACCGCGGTCGGCTGCAAGGGAGTTCAGTGACATAGCCATTACGCTAACTGCTGGTCCCCTAAGGGTCTTTTAAATGTCATAGAAAATGCATTTTTTTTAAGCGAGATTTTTGCTATAAGGTGCATGCACTCACCAGAGAGACAGAGAGACAGAGAGACAGAAAGTGAGAGTTCATCCCCCCAGGAGGAATGGCCATGCCACATCCCTTCTCCTCCATTCTCCTCTTAGGATTTGGGGCATGCATGCACATGTACCCAGTGTGAGTTTTAAGCCACCGGGTCCAGGACTCGAATCATGGTCGACTCTGTGGGAGTCCAGAGATGTAACCATTATACTATCTGCTGGTCCCTAGGAAATACATACTATGAGAAAAAAGCAACAACTATTCATGTATTTTTTTAAAATGCAATGAAATAGTCATACTTAAATTCCATTTTCTATGAACTTTTGAAGCCCCCCACGTACAATACAATGAGATGCTCAGGGGTGTTGGAGAAGCTTCTTTACTTTCCCTGAAATTGTGGAAGTTCTTGTTTTCTTGGTGTGTTAGGTAAAGTCCTGACTTTCCAATTGATACACTGCATGTCGCTTGTTTTTGTGAAACCTCTGTGTTTTGCTTTTTAAGAGATATTTTTGTTATAGGGCATGTGCACTCTCCAGAAAGACAGAAAGCAAGAAATCACCCCTTGAGGGGATGGCCATGCCCAATCCCTTCACCTCTGTTCTTCTACTGGGATTTCAGGCACATATGCATATGTGCTTGGCATGAGTTTTAAGCGGCCGGGTCAGGGACTTGAGCCATGGTTGACTACGTGGGAGTTCAGCGATGTAATCATTATGCTATCGGCTGGGCTGGAACCTCAGTGTTTTTATCTGTAAAATGAAAACCGTGGACCAGACTAAGAATTGAAACTATTTTTTACTTTTGCCATTGCTTCCCACTCTCACAGCAGTGGCTGGCACAGCTAGTGAAGACAGGCAAATTTCCTGCAAAAAATTCCATGTAAGACCATGTTTGTTTTTCTCAACATAGTATATAGAGCACACTTAATTACATTCTCTTATTTAAAATTAACAGCGGCCTTGCAAAATAGGTATTATTATCAGATGAAGACACTGAGGCTTGGCATTTAAATGAC